TTGAGCGATGTCCTCGGCGTTCTCCTCAGTAGACCTTCCGTGCGCCGATCATCAGCTCCTGATTAAATAATGAGGGGAGGGTATTTGATCTCAACAGCATTGATTCCTCTCAGCAGCTTCAATTGGACTTGGGATTTGGTTCAGCCCAGATGCGGGAGGGGAAATAGTGCTGATCATCATGAGCCCAGAGCTAGACGTTAAAATGTTGAACTATAGCAGCTGTACGAAAGAGAAAACGGAATCCAACGCACTTCCATGTCAAGAACGTCACAGCGCCGACACCTATTCGCAGACATGGTAGAGATAAACTTGGAAACGAAACTTTCGCGGATGGTTCCCTGTAGTTGATCCCTTATTTATAGTTTGGCTTTGGATTACGGAAACGAGTGGATGCCGATATTTAACAACATTGCCAGTGCTTCCGTTGTGGAGAGATTTGAGATTCTCCCGCTTAAGGCATCTGATCCATAGAAGTTTGTTTCAAACAGTTTCGCCTTTTGCTGTCGTCAGCGCAGAGTCTTAAGACTTCCGTTTAGGCAACAGAAGGTATAAGGCTTGGATAAACTGTGTGTATTCAGAAGGAAAGGGAAGGAATGAAATCCTGATATGGTCTGACGACCAGCCGATCCGCCAGAAGCCGGTTGATCACTGAAGTGACCGCCATCCATGTAGGCAGTACTGCAGATCCCATGAAGTGTCAGGGCTAGAGAAACCTAAAGTGGCAGGCAGTGCACAAGATTACTACAATACTCGCGTGTGACGCAATTGCTCCCTGTTGTCAAAAGGTAGCTCATGAACGCACACTTCATTGATGATTTGAAACCCGCCTCCTAAATGTAGACAATCAACAGGCTTCTTTTGAAACGAACTCGGTTGTTCGTGTGGAGAGCACGACCTTGAGTTAAGTGCACCAGACATTTTATGAAAAAAAAAAGTTTAGTAGGTTTCCGCATTTTCTGATACTACCAGAGGTAACCGAAGTTCGGATAAATTGGTGGATTTCAAGTTATCGAACACCATTAGAGAAAATCGGTAATCAAAACAATTTAACCGCGCTCCAACCGAATGGCCAGTAAGCAGTCTCGTTGTCGCTCACTAGACTGTAAGCATGTTGAGAGACGTGGAGTGCATAAAGTTGTAGTCTTCGAATGATAGCGATGTATCGTGCGCAACCGTAAGTGCCTCACAGCGTTTATGATGTCCTGTGGGCCTTAGGGATTAGGAAGCAGACCATTTCGTTAAGCTAGTGGTGACCAACAAAGGAGGCAAACAGTGTCAACTGCTTCGTTAGTTACAGTACCAGTGAAAGTGGGCAGTAAACGTGGCAAAAGATTGCATCCGATGCCTAAGAGGAACCAAACACAAAGCCGTGGATTCTAAAACCACTTCCTATTAATGACCAGTAAGTTAAAACTAATTATGAAAAAATAGCGATTACTCAGGTTGAGTTGAGAGTCAGTGAGAATGTGCACAGGGCAAATTCCTGCATATTCTATGGCGTTTTTTCGTAGAAGGATTAGAAACTTAATATTTTGATGGTGCGTGGAGGGAGAGGCGGCGATGGGGTGGCATCACATGATGCGATGGAGGTTTCTTTAGGGACGGTGTTAATAAGGCCTCTGTGACACGTGTCACATCACCTACAAAAGGCCGCAGGTAGAGGTCTCGTGTCATACAAAGCTGAAAATGTCCACCGTCTCACGATGTAATTTTTTCTCGCCACTCACACCTTTGAACTTCTCCACAATGGTACGTCAAAAATCTCCGATTATGCCTATCTGATACGAAGATTCTGACTCGCTCAGTGGGGGAAGAATTCACACTCCGACTCACTCCTCACAGCTATCTGGTTCGGCGGTCCATTGCAAAGACTGCCCTTCCACAATGAAAGTATCTGCGTTAATTTGATGCTAATAATTTAACATTTTGCATCCTAACCACTTCCTTCAGAAATGGCCTCTGCATGATCTAATGGAAGTGATTCGGAGGGACTCGGAGGTCTGCATGAGCAACTGTAGGAGAAGTACTTATTATTTCTCCGATTTTATTGCTTTTGGGGCCTCAAGACATCAAGGGCATCCCCACGTCCATATTTCGAACGCATGGATAATGATGCTGAGCCCTTTTGAGGCAAAAACTCAACAAGACCACCAGCTTGATGAAAAGTGGACCACATTGTAGCGTGATCGCTAAGTTGTGGTAGCAGTAGAGCAAAGAAGGGACACTAAAGTGCATCAGCAATTGCCAGGGCTAGCATGCTCGCCTACACTCCACAATGTTGTAGTCGCCCTCTCGAGCACTGCCGCCTGTTTGGACATAGACATTAACTTTCTTAGCCAGGAAGGTTTAAAATTGGCCACAATGCACATGAGATGCTTTTATGCACCCAATAGATGTTGTCGCCCAAACCTTTCCATATTATGGGGGGAGCTTCAAAGCCTAACACTTCATTTTCCCTCCGCCTAACTCTAAAACGGAGCACAGGCTATAGTTGAGTTGGTTAATAGTTCTCTACTAAGCCCCAAAGGATTTGAACAATCGTACTTCTCAACGTCAAATTCCCTTTCGGTGGGATGGACTGGTAGCACGCAGGTCTTTTCTTACTCCTCGGATCCCAGCTTTGTTGCTGTTCTGTAGGAGGGAAGGGAACAAATAAAAGCAAGTTACATAAGTCAAGCGGAGAGCAAAAAATTAATTAGGGAAGGTGATGGATTTAAGTTAAAGTACAGCGTCGGTGATGTTTCTCACGTGTATAATTGAGGAGCACTGGAAGGTAGAAAATGGGCACATTGGCTTGGGGCTGGAATAAACCCAACCTGGTCTGCGTGCCTCCAAGACTGCATTCTCATTAGCCTCGAGCCCTTTTAATGGGGGCTAGGCGGAGGGCAGATTAAATATATTGGGGTTTCGGGATGAAAGATATATGGCAACGCCATAGCTCAACCCAGACCCACCTCTGCAGATGAGCCATTCTGATTGCCAGCTTTTTGAGGCTGTAAAGGTGATTGCCAAAGCACTCCACAATGCGTGCTGTAAATCATTTCCCGTGGAACGCAGTAACAATAAAATGCGGCCATATTACAGACGATAAAGTCTACGGCTGTTTAAATCAACAAAATGATAGCAAAATTGGGAAAAACCGATTTTGCTTTCTGTCCTGCAATTCACATGACCCACGACACTACCCACCGTGAGGGCTCCGACATTCGAGCCACCTTCATAACTCCTGTCAGGTAGCTCAAACCAAAAAATATAATGTGTTGTCATCGACAAATTCGTCATTCCGTCTTTCAAGTCGAGGGAGCAGAAATTCAGTCGGTGGGCTGCAATTCTGTCAAATAATAAGACAGTTTTCATCTCCATCGCCACTTTCTGATGGCAGCAGATCTGATTGCCTTAGCCCAACTTCTACGTGCATCTGCAAATCGCATTTGGATCTTTTATCCTCGTCTATGCTTCACTTGAACTTCATTGTTGGATTTTAGCTGGGCCGCTTTTAGCAATGTGTTGGAGTCCCAAACGATAAGACCCTCACGCAAAAGGAGGCGAGATGCGCTGAAGGATTCGGTCAACTCTGCCACTGCTCAGTCTGCTTGGTCCATTCAGTGGAGATTAAAAAAAAAAGAATAATCCTGCAAATTACTGACCAGCATCGGGTCTCCTTAAGACAAATCACATTTGTCCGAATAATCATGACCATTTGATAAATTAATTAACAAATTCATGGCCTGTGAAATCTGCATTACTTCACCTCAAATGCATCGTCTTTTGTACAAACGACCACTTCTTGGCTTCTCATTCTCTCATTCCGTATTCTTATTCATGACTCTTACCATGTCTTCAACCTTAGTCGGCTGACTTGTGACAGCGTCTTGCGTGTTGGGCACTCGAGTGGGCGGTATCTGACACACAAATCTTATGCGGATTTCTTCCCTCCTCTTCCACTTCTTTCCTCTTTGCGGGTGAGGGTCTGCAGTCTGTAAATCCCCTTTCCACCAATCATCGTCGAATAGCGTGTCTAAATCACCGTCTGAGAGTAAAAAATTTACTTGTATTTCAAATTCGGAGTCGTTTGCACAGTATGCAACACCTACTTTTGAAGGTGTCATCTTTGTGCATACCGAAAGCCCATGCCCGGCCTTTATCTCACAAGCCACTGAAGTAATGGCAATTCAAGATTGCTTACCTGTTGCACTGAGCTTGCAAAGTCTACCTCACGAAAGAGTTCACCAAATGCCTATTCTTTAACAATGGCATCACGTCTTAGAACGCTAAATGGTCAATCGCAGGTGCTGTTCTGATCAGTGGGAAATAAAATGCACGTTGGCTACTTATTTCCCTTGACAGCTTTTACCATGTAACTCATCACATGTGACTTCTGCCATGTGGTGTAACAAGTAAACCTTCAATCAAATTGTGTAACATCAGGAGGGATTTCGCGTGACTCTATGCGATTTTGGTTAGCCCTTACTTTTGACCCAAGAGTTGAAAATTGAGATTGTGCTTTAATTGTGGTTTCCGGGAGGAGAATACTTCTACAAATCGGATAAGGCGTCCATAAATGTTGAACTGTAGGCCTTTTACCACTTCGCGAAAGGTGGAAATGCAACCCAACCACTGGCTGCATAAATAAGGCCTTCAGGCACCATTTGTACTGAAGTGTCAACGCAATCCATCGCCTCATCACCGATGCGACTTTAGAGGCAAAATGCCACAACTTTCGGCAATCGTTTCCACCTCCTGAATGCTCAAAAGTAAAAAGACTTTACTGTGGTACTACGTTTACTTGGCTCCGTTAGAAACTCCAGGTACACATATAAAATCTAAGGAGGTCCCGCGTCAGGTTTAAAACAGAGGTTGAGGAGGTCACAGATGTGTGTACACCTACTAGATGGGTAAATCACAGTGTTGAGTCACTAGCGCCTCATCCCGAGACTTTGTATGGGATGGAGGTAGAAAATGACGCGAGATTACTATCTTTGGCTTCACTTTCTTTCTCATCATCCGTCCGCCAACTGAGCCATCCAGGTGGGGTCTTTAAAGTATTCCGGCACAGTTTGATCCATTCTTGCGATGATCTTATAGATTGGCTTCTTCCAGGACTGCTCAGCGTCCTTCCCCGCCTTGAGGGCAACGAAGAATTCACGTATAGTTGTCTCAACCACCACACGGAAGTACTCCGGAATCTGCAGCGTAAGAGAGATAAACTTGATCAAACTCCGAGGCAAGTGCTATTTTATCAGGCTGAAGAGGTTATTGTTTCTGAAGTAATAAAAACAAAATATGATAAAGTGTTCAAGGCTCCCCTTTCCACATTTAAATTATTCAACTAATCCTCCGCTTTTTTTACTTGGCTGACATTATTTTCGCCTTATCAAATCGTTCCAGCTACTGTTTTTTTTTACATATTTGCAAAGTACAATTAACTTTGACTTGTACACAGCTGTAGTGGCAAATTCGTGTCATTGACACGTGATTGAGTGAACTCAGGGAGACGTGTCATTTACCAGCACAAATGAGTAGCCCCATGAAGTACATTTCATTGCTTGTTGAGTGGCCTCAGTTGTCAATACTGCCACATTAAAGACCTCATCTTACCTCGATTTGGTTATTGCGATTGTAGTGCAAGGCCAAGGTGCGGTAGAGCTCGGAGTTGGTGGTAACTGTCAGATCGTTGGGATTGCGAACGCCCTCGGTTATCGCCACACGAGCGTATTTCTCCATTTGTATGTAATAGAATTCGCTGCAATTAAAGACGCAAAGACAGACGTTTCTTTCAATGCACATAAGCAGAGGGACCTGTCCAACCATAATTGTGGGCACTGATAGCGTTACAACGCACTTAGTTCGCCCCTCTCTCGCCTCTCCTCTCCTCCTCTCCTCCTCGTTTTGTCAGGACAATTTTCTCAGGGACATGAGAATTGTAGTGAGACAAATATATTGTCAAATCCTGCCTCCTCAGCTCTATCTTAATGGTACGCTGTCATATTTGTCGTGCGTTCGACTCCCCTTACTTTGTTTTCTTTCATAATGACGACAAAACACTCATGCACGAAATGATTCCGCTTTAAAGAGGTTTAAAATGGACAATAGCTTTATTTACAGGTTGGATAATAAAGAGCGACCATTAAATCATCTTTTGCCTGCTGATAAGCCTAACCTGCAGAGAGACTAAAGGCAACCATGACCTGGCTAATTGCAATGGTTACTGTCAGTTAGTGTATCCAATATGAACCCAATCATCTTCTCATGGCCAAGAGGCTAAGGCACTCTCTAAAATGTGGAAAAAGTGGCAAGAGCTATTTACATTTGCAGTTGCCTTTACTTCGTGCGCACACCGCGTTTGCGTGCATAAAAAGCGCCTTCGTGCTCCGCTCCTCGAGGCTGCCTCAACTACCTCGAGAGTAATTAAATTTCTCAGAGTATAAATCTGTAAACACCGCCTCCTCTTCCTCCTCCTCCACCACCACCTCCTCCTATTCCGCCTACTTAGCCTTCTCGCTCTCCCAGTTCTCACCTTGACGCGGGAAAACCTTTCATCAAAATGCCTTTCTATTGTTGCGCCCAGTGGGGTGGAAGGAGAGGTGAGTGGGGGGGGGGGCAGTGGGAAATGAGGGGATGGAGTACCAGGCTCACCCATAAGACAGTTTTGCGTGCACCGTTTTCAGTAAATTAAATTCGACTTTTTCCAGCCACGAGATGGCGCAGCAGACTCCTTGAGACAGTGTTTCCTTTTGTGAAAAAAAGAGATGGAAATGCAGAAAATTATTTGACTCTTCGGGAATTCACCATATTTATGGAGGATCGATCAATCCTGTGGTGGATTCCGTTGTTTCCATATTTTTACCATTTCTGACCCATTGACAAGTGATAGTTAACTCACTGAGTGTCCGCCACAGTCCCTCCCTCATGACTTAAAAAAGGGTAGGAATTAGAAGAACTCGCATTCACTTCAAGAAAGCGAATGAATGCCTCTGCTCGAGAGGGTTGGCGGCAAAGTAGGAGCCACCGCATAACAATCATGGATGCAATTTTTTTTAAAATCAGGTTGGGAATGTAGACGATAGTCTCTTAACGTCGAGTTTATTCAAAATAATATCATCCATATTGTACGAGAAACTCACCGAAAGTTGCTGAACCACTTCACCAACTGAGCAGTGTTGTTCTTTTGGAATTTGACATCACAGAAGTAGGCCTTCAGGGTATTTGAGTTGGGATATCGGGTGTAGAAGAACATGAGCTTGGCTTTTCTGAGGTGGATCGGAGTGAGAGTACTTGTGGACTGTGCAAAAAGAGACAAAATAGCAGACAAGGTTTGTTAAGGATCTGCTTCTCCGTTCTCTCATGTCAAACCACCATGCATGTAGTAGCCTCAGTCTTAAATGCGAGGCTATTGTCGGGTCTCCTTCCACATCGACGTTTCATTGCCACTCCAAGCTGGCTATCGCTTTGCTCTATTGACTGCCATTCACCAAAAGAAGAAAGTTCATCCACGGCATATACGACGGTGACATGAAACGTGCAAAAATTGGCATACGCATCACTGACCATTTTCTCTTTCATGGTTCACCAATTTTCTTGTTTGGATACATCTGTTGTCCTCACACAAGTCGTGCCTTCGTTTAAGGAAGCGCTGCCCTCCTCATCACCACCACCACCCCCACCATCATTACCACCGCTTTCTAAAGGAGACGAGGGGTGGGGAGTTATCTGCACAATGCTACCACTACTACTTCCATGACTACGACTCGTGTAAGCAGCCCCACCTTCTTTCTTGGAAACTAAAATGTTACTTTGGATGAAATTAAATGCACATCACCACAAGCTTCCTTTGCGGATAACGGACAGGGCAAGGCTGTAACAATGAACTTTTCATTTGTGTGTACCCACACATATGAGCTTCTCCCGGCCCCCATCCTCACTCTCCTTTCTCTGAGCCCCGTATCTTACTCTCTTCATTCTCCTACGTTTACTCCCACTTTGTTACAGTTTTTAGACGTCGTTTGAGGGCTGGGGTACGCTGAATGGAAACAAGAGGAGGCACAGCGTTGAGGTGGGGCAGAGAAGATGTTTAACTAGAGCGTTTGTGGCACTTATACAATAACTTTTACGCGGTCAGATGTCTCTTAGATACCACTTCAGCCGCATAATAGAGACGGTTATGGAACCCTCTCTAACCAGTTCAATTTCCTTTTCTGTTGACGGATCCTGAATTCTCAGACACACGTCTGCTAGCGATGCATGACGTTCTGGAGAGACTTAACTTTCTTCAAATTCCCTCACTTCCAAGCGTCGGTCAAAAGTCTCCATTTTAATTGATGCGAGAGTAATGAGCATTAGCAAAATGCTGATTTGCTTTAAAATGGCGCTGTGGTGGAGAGACAAAGTGGATGTGAAATTGTGGCAGTGGCGACCAGTGATTTGACAAGTGGGCAATGCGGGCGCTAACTCGATCACCTTCGTGTCTCACGTTTGTCAACTGACCACCTCCCTAGCTCAGTGATCGTCGAAGACCCCACAACTGGAAATCCGGAAAACAAATTGCCCTCAAGTGAAATTTACCTTCCAATGGCATTCCATTGTCATCTCTGGTTAAGCATATGCTCTTCACGCCGTGTCAAAGTGAGGTTGACATTTTAGTCAGTTTATTCTAACCCATCTTTTTAGTGGCTGAAAGAAACAGAATTGTCACAAATTATGCTCGCCAAATGGATCGGAATGGAAAATGCCTCCCCTCTCAACACCACATCTAAGTCGAGTTGGTCTGATGTGGAAGTGGATGCAAATTTGCGGATGGCAACAAGCATTTTAAAATGTCATGGTGACTGGATTGATGTAGCCTCTTTTTTGGGCTCTGCATTATAACGGCAATTTACTGGCGGGTTGAGATGTTTGGTTTTATAGGCGCACAGATGACATCAAATGAGTAAAATTGAGTGGGAACTGGTTGAGTGCGCTGAGGAAGTCGGCGTTTCATCCTGCCTACTCAGTAGATAATTTGACAGGCCGCACCTCATCAATTTTTAGGACAACCACATCGACTAACATAATGGCGATAAGAGTTCGTTATTTTCTCTGAAATTTAATTGCTAAATTGGAAGTAAAGGGTATTGGCGACAGAAAATATGGCTAGCGTTGGAGGGACTTACTGGAATGATGCCACTTAGAGGGCCAGGATGAAGTGAAGGAGCTGCCTCGTCTGAAGTGGAACCCGACGATAAAAAGGCTCTTCCATCACATCCATAATTTGAAGTCGATGATGTGTTTGTCACTCGCTTTCCACCTATCGACCTGCTCCTTCGAATCGGATTGGATTCCATCACTGAGGTGGTATTTGGTATGTCGTAACAGAATTCGTTAGGATGGTGGTGGTGATGATGATGATGCGGCGGTGGTGGTGGCGGTGGTGGTGGTTGCGGAGGTGGAGGAGGAGGAAGTAGGTTTCCCATTAAGTCCATTTGCGGTAGCCTGCTACACGGTATTGAGAGGGAACCTCGAGTAGAAGAAATGGAGCAGGAAGGGTGGTTGTGACCGTTTGCCATGGAAAGGGTCTTAAGAATGTCGTTCATTAAGGCAGGATCAATGTTAGCTGGTAATGGTGGTGGAGATGCCATATGAGACAGAGTTCCTCCAATCTTGGAGCGTGAAAGTTCCGATAGTAAAAAAGGACTCCCTCCCTCCATGGATGGGAGTGGCAGTTGTGGAGCTAATTTCGGGGGAACTAATCGAGTGTCAGTAACTTTCGTCCTTTTCTTGCGGGGAATACAGGCCGTCATTGGGCTATCATAGGGTTGGAAATTTTCTTGCTGGTGATCGTAAGCTGGAGATCCACTGCTACCTCGGTTGCGATTTACAACTAAGGCCAGCGCCTCTGTCTGATTGAGTTGCTCGGGCATTGGGAGAGGATTTGATGTTACCTTCTGGAAATCCATGCTGCATACTTCCATCTATAAAAAGGAGTTAATTTAACTTGTCAAAATAACTAATATAAGTTCTATTTGTGGAATTTACCTTAGAGCTGTCTGCTTTAGAAGGTGAATTTTGTTCCGAGAACTTGTGAGGCCGGAAGGGAGTAGGGAATGCACACGGGGGGGTGGTACCTTGTGATTGAAACATCCGACATAACGCCTCATAATAAGTGGAAAATGACTGACTGAATCCTTCCGGTACGTTGGTACTAAAGGCTTCCATTATCTCCGTCGGTGAGGGCACGTAGGGGGAAAATTTAAGAGGTCCCGGGGTTTTTTGTGGCTGTTTAACAACTCCCTCTTCAAAACTCTCCTCTGCCATTTGCTCCGGACCTTGTTTCGTTTGTTGTTGCTGCCGTTGGCCTTCATCTGTGTCGAAGTCTAACGACGAACGACTGCCACTAATGTGATTCAAACTAGTCTCCAAGGCCTCTCGGACAAGACCCTTCAGCTCATCTTCAAGTCCTTTCTCAGCTAACTTTGCCTTTTTGCTCAGAGCCCGTGTAAGTGCATCTGCTGCGGTTCGACTTAATTCGTCTAAAAATTCCTCGTTTGGCCTTTTTTTTCTTCCACTATCCGTTGTTTCTTCTAACACCATTTTTTGAATGGGTGTTGTTTGTTCTCGATTTTGTTGTCTAATAGCCTCTGCCACTGACGCCGCATCGCTTCGCAAAAGGTCTTCCATTGCATAGGACTTGGTTCCACCTTCAGCGACTTTCAGTAAGGATTCCTTATGGGACAAAGGTGAGGAAGTGCTACTGGGGTTTGGCACTTCCATCGATGAACTCGTAGTTGTGGGTGAACTTGCACACCGCTGTTCTTCACTGTCTTCGGAATTCGGCTTGCCAGAGGTACCTGAGTTGGTGTTGGATTGTAATTCCGCGTCAAGCCACTTCTGCAAGGAGCAGTTGATATGCCGATTCGAGGGTTGGGCCACGTTCATGAGGGCTTAGTTCCTTCCCGTGAGTATCTGTCAGAAGAGTATAAAAAGGTAAGCAATCATGTAGACTACACGAATACCTCCTATAAGGTCCTCTTGACAGAAGTATAAAATCTAAACCATTTTAGGCAAGGAGGAACCAGGCAAGTCTTAAGAAGAGTTCCGCAGTACCGGAAGTGTTCTCCAATCATTATTGCCAGATGTCTTCGACTAAGGCGATGCGACTTCAGTAATTACCTTCCCGGCTGCACATGTTCCTCTGGGCAGGAAGTAATTTTTGTATACTCTGTGATAGGAGCAGACAGTGTTTGGTTGCAGGCTTCCTCACCTTTTTAAGCCTATAGCTTACCAAAGGAGACCTCTTAAGGACAGTCTGAGGGATCCTGATTAATTTGAACAACTTTCCAGACACGTTTCTTATCTACTGGAGCTGCCACGGCAGCGACGCCAACCCAATGAATGCTGCAAGGAATGCTGCTGATTCACTCTTCACTGTACTCATGTTTGTATCGTTTAGTTGGAGCTGTGCTAATGATAGTGGTAGTAGCGTATTAAGATACGGGCAGCTATTTCTTTTATAATTCCCTTGCGACAGTACACCACCCACTCATCCAACCCCCACCCTCCTCTCATCCTCTCTCCTAATCGTGAACGTGGCTGGTGGTGCGCGGGGGCTCTATAGTAAAATTTGTTATTTAAAGGCCGATCTCAGGGGATGAGGCGGAGAAGGGAAGGGGAGACCAAGACAAGATGGTTTGGACTTGTAACGACATGCCGAGGTGCAAGTTGATGCTCTCTTTGCCCCATCCCATGGGCTGGAGGAGAGTGGAAAGGGGCAGAGGAGGAGGGATGAGGAGATTGATTTATAATAAAAAGCTCCATATTCCCGAGTGAGATGGTTCGGTGTACTTATAGAACCATGGGTTACTTGTGTTGCCGTACACAGATGAAGCTGCTGTGCGTAGCTAACTAAAGATAAACAATGAGCGGACTGTGCTTCAATCCATTCCTGTTCTTCTATCTTAATCAGATATGATTATCATGTTAAATGACCTTCGGCAAACTCAACTTTGCGGTCTCTAAGGCCAGATGTTTTGTATTATTCGAGGGTAGGTCCAACGTGACCCCACGACATCGTGTTGTCCTACTTGTACCGACTTTTGGGGGTAACGTCTCTTTAGAGAATTCAGTTTTGAGAAATTCATATTATTTTTACAAAAAAAATAACTAAAATTGATGAAAACTGATAGGAGATGCTGCCGTTTTTGCAAATTTGCTCCATAATAGGAAGTGCCAAACCTGTTTCAGATACGATACTTATATCCCCTTTAAACAAAAAATTAAGTTGTTCCTTGATTAAACACAATTTCACAATTAAAACTGACAGAGACTTGAAGACTTGTGCTATGAGAAAGGTTCGAAATGTCTCAAAAGGTATTTAAATGATGCCCTCGCCTCCCTTGAGAGAAGAAGAGCTTGGGAAGGTCAATTAGAACAGGTTCCATGGAGGGTGGGATAAAATCCGCCCAACTATCGACAATGTAGTTTTGATGAAAAAAAAAACATTTGCTTACTTTGGCATGTTGAGAAGTAGATGAGGGTTTGAGGCTGAGACAACGTCGCATCCCATCAACTTCTGTCAATCTGATGGGAAATCCTGGGAAGAATTCAGTACTATCTCCTAGTTGTCATCTTACCGACTCTCAAAGGTTACAAACCAGCCTTTTCAAAAAATAGCTCCACTTTCGAAAAATAAAACAAAAGTCAGTTGCCAATTTCTCCAAATGGGAGAGTCGTGTGTATCACTGGTTTAAATAAAGTTAATTGCATGAACCCCAACCCACAGAGAGGCAGAGTAATCTTGTGTTTGCCCAACTTAGATTGGTGCGTCTTTGGTTGTGAATTAATGGGTCGTCGAATCGTGGGAACATCAATCAGAGAATTCCAACTCCTGCATCCCCTCGCCCCCCACCTTCCGACTACTCGAAATGCCCCAATAACTTCACTTTCCCCTTCCATTTCTCCACTTGTCCTATAAAATGCGGATGAGGATGTGGACAATCTGGGACAACTTTGTGATTGATGCCGCTATCTTTGTGGCTTTCTTTGCATTCCTTCCATTGCCCCAATCCCCAAAGGATCCAGGCCCAATTTAAATTAATGTAAGCCTTACTCAAAATTCCCTTACTTGCATGACTTATAGAGTGACTCAAGTGTAAGACAAAAAGGTAGGAAAAGTCGTGGGTGAGACAGAGTCGCTAAGTTACAGGTGTACAACCACGTGTCCGAGGGAGCCTGCCTTGGTTCCTCGCCGCCCCCACACATCCGCCCTTAGTGTTGCAGGAGCCGGTGTTTGTTTATCTTATCGCGGCGAGATATTTGGTAGGATTAGTTTAAGGTCAGTGTAGACCAAATTGTGGCAAAAGTGTGAGAAAAAAAAGTTTCCCATTCTGGAACATGGACGACTTGGATTCACATGGATACCTTGACCACCTGTACCTGCAATGCTGATTGCATGTGCAAACCACCGATCCTATGGTATTCCATTATGAATCTCAAGTCATCCGCACAGAGAGAAAAAAGGCTTAGCAGTAACAACGAAAGGAAGACTCAGTAAACTTGCTTGGTCACTTAAAGAACAGTTGCATTAAAAGTACCTTCTAATTTGCATAGTATAATCCAAAGAAGATCAAAAGTTTGCTAAGTAAACCTCCTGAACACCCCCACCCCGCCTTTCTCCGTTGCACGTAGGTCGTCGTGATTTTTCTGCATGACAAGGTGTCAAGGTGACCCATCGTGACGAGACCTTTAGCAACTTTTAGCATGTTTAAATCCTTAATGCAGCGACCACTGAGGTCACCGGTATCGAAATGGCGAACCAATATGGCATTGTGAATATCCTCTTAGTGACTGCGAATTTTACATGTACGGAAATGGATGTCGGCGGCACATACTTGGTGTGACCGGAATCCTCTCAGTTAACTGCCCCACCTCTCCACAGTAAGGAGGATGAAAGGGAGCGTCTCTCCTTCCCCTGCCCAATTCACGACTGCTGGTGGTGCTGCTACTACTACCCTGCTGCTCTCTCACCATTTACAGACTCTTATCCGGTGATGACAGGGACCTGTAAGGCCCAGGATGCAAGAGAAACGGGCTGGGTGGGTGAGTGGGTGGGTGTGGGCACTAAATTTTTGCCTTTTATCACCGTCCTGAGGAGAGGTAGAGAGTGAGGAGAGACAGCGAGAGAGTGGTGTCGCTCGCGGAAGTTGGAAGTGGCTGAAACTACAGATTTGCCTCTCTCTCTCTCTCCCTCTCAGGTCCGGGTGACAGGTAACTTCCGTTTCTCTGCGCCCTTATCCCTACATGGCCCAAAACAGGAGGGACGGGAAGGTACAGTCAGGGGGAGGTAAGAGTATTTAGCCAAAAGCAGTCTACTTGGAGGATTTATTTTCACCTACATTTTATCTAACCACATTTAATCACACCCTAGAGCCCCACTTCGTGCGAAGGGAGTGGGGAGCAGGATGATTCCATCCTCACCACCAAAGAGCAGTCTAGCTCAGCCTTTCACACGCATGGTCCCTCCTAGCGGTGATACCTTGTAAGGTCTTATCTACCACGATCTGAAGCCTCCAAGACGTTGACATTTGGTCAGCTTTGGAGCAAATTTGGCATTTTCTAAGTGCAAAGAAGCTAAACTGATTATTTATGCGACTCTAAACCTTCATTAGTTGTGCGATGTCTTTGAGACGTGGTAACTCTAAGTTCATGGCACCTAAAAATGCGACACGTTGTAGCTGTCTAAACCATTTCTTTGCTGTCCTGGGAGAGATGGCGCCAAAATCTCTACCAGGATTATCCTTACACTTGATTCACCAGCGTCCATGACATTTGGATTAGAAGGTGCACGGAACGTTCATTTCTATTCGTAGGCATGCGTGTCACTGAGGTGTAAAGTCTAATGTTTATTCTTTAGGGGAGCTTAAAAATAGGTAAAGTAATGTGCTTATATCTTGCAAACACGGCAAAGAAACTACCACTCCGGTAGCCACAAAATATTTTAAATCATTTTGTCCGCAATTCTTTTGGCAAATTGCATGGCTCAAGTAATCGAGTTCAAAGTGCATGCGTAAACCGTCGAAGTTGACGTTCAATTAAGGCCAACATTTTGTCTTGTAAACGACTACTCTTTCCACATTCCTGGCAATTTTAATGACCCTCACAAAAGCAAAAATAAATAAATAACATGTCCAAAGCTGCAAGAAGATATTGCAACATCAAGGGAAGCTTAATGAGGTGCTATAGGTCTCAAAACCCTCTAAGAACTCGCATTGCCCGATCCATTTGCTCGAATCCCTGTATGCAAAGCAAGTTGCCGATCCGAGTAATTACGCTCCTCCGATATGTCAGGATTTTATAATCCTTATAAAGGCAGTCGTTTAAGAGCTCTAAGTCATTCGCAATAATACTACTGTTTTTAGCAATGGCTACAGTCGTGCTTTCATTCTGCCAACTGCTTGGCTTCGGGAGGTAACTTCCTTTTCTCACTCTCAGAAGGAAAGTAAGCGAGAGGTATAGGATATAAAGCTAGTCATTGACAGATCGCTAAATTCGCTCAATTCGCAGTTGACAAATTAAAAAATAAAGATATGCATAGATTACAGGGACAATGGTCACATGTGAGAGGTGTTTAAATAGCATAAAGCAAGATGGAAAGGCATAAGACAAAGTAAGTTCGATCAAGGGAGCAGCACTACTCACCACGAAGTGGACGAGAGGAGGAGGTGGCAAAGTGAGGTAGTGTGAATCCTTGTAAGCCCTGTACAGACTGATGGTCAAAATATTAGGTTGTTCTCTTCCGGTTGGGTGACAGACGCCTTTTCCTCCAGCAGCCTCCTCAACGCACAACCGACGCACTGTCACGTTTGTTTGTTGGTAAGAACGCCTTCGTGCTCGCGTAGGCATTTATACTGCTTCTGTAGGGGGTGCATGCACGCACCTGC